TGCTCTGATAGATTTATACATAAACTACAAAATTTAGTTAGAGCTTCTATAATTTGGAAAGAGTACAGGTACTTAAGAAACGATGTGATAAGAATGTAAGAAACTGTAAAAAATTGCTGAGAAACATTAAAAATTGGAAAATACTTGTTAAAGTAATTTTGCTTCAGAGTGTGTATTTCAGATTGTCTCTAGGTCTTCCAGCAAACAAACAAACAAAACTCTAGAGTGGATCTAAGCTGAATCATTTCCTAAAATCAAAACCGTCAAGACAGAAAACTGGAAACCTGAGAAGTTCTGGTGAATGACATCTGTGTCACCCTCCGTAAATCCAACCTGTACTCCCCGGGAAACAGAGAATTGACTGTACTTTCTGTGGACTTTGGATAATAGGTTTCCCACCTGCGTTCACTCTGTTTAAGACCCTTGATGAACAGACCTTCAAAGTGGTTTCTAAAGCTTTTTTTCCCTTTTGTCTGAGGACTGCAGACTGGCAGCTCATGAAGGCTGATCTTTAGTTCTACAGAGTACTCTGTTATCGGCTTCCTGCTCAGACTCCTAGGTTCACTGAGCAACTGGCTGCTTGAAGAGCCATAAAATTGGGGTGTCATCAGTGCCATTTAGTGATTCCTAACATCTAGCTTGCATCTGTCATAAGACCTATCAGTCTTTCCTACAGTAGTCTGGCTCACTGATTTTTTTTTTTAAAGAGTGGCCATCATATCTACATGAATGCTATATAGAAGTTATCTGAGTACATTACATTTTTCCTCGTGTTCTTCTGGATATTTCCCTCCATGTTGATGGCTAGAAGTTATTAAAGCTCACCCTACTCTAAAACAAGTCTTCAATTCTCTGACTTTTAAAATAATCTACTGGGGAATTCTCTTTTACAAAGCCTCTAAAAGCCAAGCCACAGCATATCACATCCATACCACTCCATTATCTACTTAAGACATACACACACACACACACACACACACACACACACACACACACACACACATATCTCAAGACATTCTTTTACCAGAATAGCACAATGTACTCCTGGATCTTTTCACATACAGCAACACTGAGGCTACTCTGAACAGGATGGTTAGTCTCATATGTAACAAAAAGCAATGCTGGACTTAACCTGTACTAACATTTCTTGTTAGTGGATATTTCCTTAAAAGCTAATATGTATTATTTGCCAAAAAATTTTTAGAATAACCACATTTTGTAAATAATATGTTCAATACTTCTTTTTACATTTCTGTTCAAAAAATGAAAATAATGCATACTTTCAAGTGGCTGTTAACAAATTAGAAATATAGATCTTCAAAATTCATTTGAAATATGTGAAAATTATAAAAATTATCAGAGAACATTATATTACTCTGATGCAAATAATTTTGAACAAAGAACATATATAATTGTGAATAGGGAAATCATAGTTATATATAGCTATGTATATATATAACCGTTTGAAGATATACGATCCAAATTTACTTATGTGAAAACATCACTAATGACACTAAATTTTATGCATCATAGTAAGTCATTGTTTTCTAGTTATCAAAAATAATTCAAACATATTAAAATATTTCTTTAAGCACAATTCATTAATATTTTTCACCCTAAATTACATTAACAGATTTTATACTTTCTCATCTCATTTTTTTCACTATAGTCATGGTTTTAACAACAAGCTCAGATTGATATCTGAAAATTCACATTTCCATGTATTGACTGACTCTCAAGGACAAAGATTGACAATATATAATCAATGGGTAAGACCTACAAAAGTCATGGAAAATTAAATGGTGTCAATATCCAATTATCTAATCAATGCAACAAATCTCTATATATTGGGGCAAGAAACTTTTCTCCTGCTTTCTTTTCTATTCCTCATACAATTTTCTTAGTTCTTCCAGGACTTGCCCTACAAATACCATCCTCGTCACTTCACTTAGCTGAGTCTATTTCATGCATATAGATATTTAATTATTTTGTTTAGTGTGGTTTTACAGTATCAGTTGTGTAGCTTTTGTTTGCAAGTAACTGAAAATCGAACATAAGTTGACAAAAAAAAAGAAAGGAAATGTACTGCCTCAATATATAGCTAATTCAGTAGATTTGGCTTTTAGACAAGGCTTTATTTAGGCATCAAATGATGTGGACAAGAGTCAGTCTCTCTCTCACACTCTCTCTCTCCACATTATTCACCTACCCCTTCCTTGTGTTGGTTCCATTTTCAGGTATTATACTCTCAAGGTCCCAGAAAGGATATTGAAAGATCCCAGGGCCACATGCTTTCTTGTTCAGCTCTACTGTTAAAGTTAGCCATTATTCAAAGTCCAGAAGTTGAGTCATGTCTCTGTTTGGCCAAACTTACATCATCCTTGAACCAACCATCATCCCATGGTTGATGTGATATGCTGATAGACTCAAGCCAATCAGGATCTACTTCTATAGCTTAAGATATGGTCAAATCTACTCATACTATATTGCTAGGAAATGTTGGCAACAGTTCAAAAAGGTGAAGGGGCAAATGGATGCTGAAAAAGAAAGCATGGCAGGCAAACTCCACCACATTGCTGTCTGGACTCTCGAGAATTCTGTTTAAGTGTATATAAAGGGTTAAATGAGTAAGATAAATAATTAGTTGATTTGCACACATATTTTTAATGCACTCCTGTCCAAACTTTTGAGTGAAGATTTTCCTACATTAAAACTCAAGACTATACTTATAAAATTCAACTCAGATGTAATTATAATAAGCTTTACATTACTTTTTTAAATCCGTAAACTACAAGTATTGCTTTTATTGCTCAGAAACATAGCACTTCATTCTGTATCCCTTTCATGTCCCATTCCGATACAGATCATAGTAAGCAACTAATGTATTTATGTGTTTCTTAGAAAACTTAAAAGTTAATTATCTTGGATGTATCATGAGTACTGTTGTCTAAAACATTGGGGTTAAGGGTCATTTATCCTACATTTAAGATCAGTTTAAATGTAATAACTCACTGAGACTGCTCAATAGGTATTTGGGAAATCAAAAGGTAATATTCCATAGTAAAAAAAATGATGAAGGGCTTCCCTGGTGGCGCAGTGCTTGAGAGTCCGCCTGCCGATGCAGGAGACGCGGGTTCGTGCCCCGTTTCGGGAAGATCCCACATGCCGCGGAGCGGCTGGGCCCGTGAGCCATGGCCGCTGAGCCTGCGCGTCCGGAGCCTGTGCTCCGCAAATGGGAGAGGCCACAACAGTGAGAGGCCCGCATAACGCAAGGAAAAAAAAAAAAAAAAAATGATGAAAGAAGGATCCATTACAATGTGAAATGTCTTGATTGAAATATATCTGTCTGAAAATTTCTAAAACCAATAATAATCACCACACCCATGAGGAAAACTTGATATGGCATAACTGCTTAGAAAGCAGGCCTAGCTTGTTGCTTCTTTAACACTGGAGTTACAAACAGGTTTCAGAATATATCTCAATTTTTCCTCTAAACTTCATACATGTTGCTAACTTAGTGCAGAGAGAGATATAGCTGGAGAATGCCATTTTGCTTAGTTGTGCCCTTATTATGCAGACATTTAACACATTTGGGGGAAACTGATCTACTTATCTGATAAGGAAGATACTTGCTAACATAACATTTTACAGTATAGAAAAGTACTCACTTAAACGACCTAATTTGATTCTCAGAACAACGTAAGATACTAGAAGGTGAGATATCCTTCTGTAGACACAGACACAGAAAGCTTCCCACAGGGAGGTGACATATGAGCAGTCATGGAGCTGACATGGACTGTCAGCTCACTGAGGTCAGGACAGTGGCTGAACATATTAGGGGCTGAAAATGTTTATTGAATAAATCAATCAGTTAATTAAATCTGGACTTAAATCTGTTCTTTTCAATGTTCAGTGCTTTTCTTACAAGTAAACTATTATTATAGTGTTATTTACATATTTTAACAAATAGAGCTCATTATCAAATTGTGGGGCTCAGGAATAGAAGACAGAAAAAACTAAGCAAAACAAAAAGCTCCTCAAGAGCTTCTTCTTTCCTGCTTTGAGGACATAGGCTTAACCCTGTTTTCTATAGTTCCCACTATGTTCAATCAACAATCAGTTGAGGCTCTCAAGCTACAGAGCTTTGAAAAGCCTATGTCTCTAACAAAGGGCAATTCTGAATGTACTCAGGTGTTTTTTGTTTTGTTTTGTTTTGTTTTTTTAGGCTTTTTCAAAACATATTTTTTATGCTTTTGTTGTCAGGAGAAAACAGATGAGATAAAACATGGTAGTTGAGCCTTTGGGTCTGGACACAAAAACAGAGCCCTCAAGTTGACTTTCACAGAGACTTGATAGAAATTTAACAATATGTAAAGAGAGTCTCTTCTTTAGAGGTCTAATGCTGAGGCTGGAGGTAGAAATAAGACACAGCCCCTGATTTTCACCCTACCACAGTAGCTGAATGAGTTGAGTTTTATCCTATGTAGTCCAACAAGGCCTGACAAACTGCACTGCAGTACAAGAAGCATCTCTCGGGCAATGATGCGTAAAGACAGAGGGATTTTTTAGTAAACGGCAGGAATTAGGCTTTAATACTTTCTACTAAAAGACTTCATACCCCAGACAGCTGACTGCTATCCACTGAATCTTGGCAGGCAACAAGATTGCTGAAGCTTAAACTGAGAAGCTGTGTTAAGCAGATTTTCATGAATGTACAAAATGCTTTATTTGTAAAGCTGCTTTTCTTTGTTACAGTTCAAAATGCTTTTCTTCTTTTTTTAATCTCTCAGCTTGGTCAACTCTCAGTTTTTATCAAAATTACTTTTGAAAATGTCCTTTTAAGAGCCAGAGAAGAGAAATAAATGCTCACCTCAACAAAAATAAATGTTTGTTTTTTTTAAAAAAAAGAATAATCCGAAAAATGTCAATCAAAGAGATTAATAATGATCATGGGCGTTATAAAAACTAGAAGACACACAGAAAGACATTAAGTACTTTACCATTATTTGGAAGTTCTAGAGGGCTACAGGCACTGTGTGTGATTCTACCTTTCGGCGAAGAGATGAGTTTTGCAACGAGAGATGCTGAGATGGGCTGCACTAGTAGAGAGGTGAGGTTTGATCGGTTTTGTCTAAAGCTTCCATCTGTATTCGAAAGAGAAAGAAACAGAATCCTTAGTAAAGAGAAGTTAAAAACACTTGAAGAGCAGATTTTTCTGTAATATGTCTTTAAATGATGAGCAGTAAGTTTATTTCAGCTCATTTGTTTGTTTATTCCTTGGTTATACTCTTGTCTAATTATTAAAAATGATTTGAGATACTTCATAATAAAAATTCAGTCCAAATACTATTAAGTATCCTAGTCAATTATGGCAGATCGTACACAGGCATTTACTTCCATTCTCCACTGAAATGACAAGAAAGAGATAAAAAGCATCAACCCACAGGGGCCGAGAGAATAGGAGACACATTAGCAATAAGATTCTATCGATAGAAGCATGAAAACAGATGAATAAGTGTCAACTGATGTGACAGACCAAGGAGACCAAAACCTAAGCCAGAAGACGGAGGAAGCTGAAAAGCAATGCAGTTTGTACCACAGAACCCAGAAACTCTTGAGAACTGGTAACACCAGCTACCTATTAAAATAGGGGTAAATGGAGGGGCTGGAAACAGGTGAGTTTGATGAAATTCGGATTGTGAGGGGGGTCTCTCCTCCTGAACCCCTCACTCACCCAGTCAACATGAACAGTGCCCGGTCCTCCCTCCCTCCAGCAGAGACTGAAAGTGGGACACTGAACAGGGAGACACCAGACACAGGGAAGGGTGACTCGTACTTTAAATGGGACGGTGTTATGATTGCTGAGACCCTTCAGATGCCTTACTCTCATGGTGCCCAGAATCCTTCCTTCCAGGTTGGGCACTAGATAATTCACTTGTGGTAAATAGGACCAGGGCAATGGAGAATACAGAAAAATACTGAAAATGTGGAAGTCTACCAATAAAATAACTCCCTCAAGACATCCTACATTGACACTTATCAGTCAATACATCTCACCACATACAGAACTTCAAATGAACTTATGCTGCCATTCTTAAGTAGGAGCTCTCAGCCAAGGCCAAACCTAGAAAGGCACAAGAGCAGCAGACCTAGTGAGGATAAGAAGAGGATGTCAGGAAGGGGGTCTCCAGGGAAATAAAAATCATGGGAATACCAGATGCGTCTTAATGTTCTGAGAACATATTCACAGTAAGATCAGAGAATTAGCATTTGAAGAGGTTCGAGATATACAGAAGAATGAGAAATCTATAAAATGAGACAACTATTAGTTTCAAAGGGAGCAAAAATTTTCTCGAGAAAAATGCAATCATCGTACATTGTGAAAAATATTCACACAGAGTTATATAAATAATGACTTTTTAATACAAAAATGGATATTATTCTTTAGGAAAAAAGAAAAAAGGGCAAATGTCAGGGATGAAGGTACATGGAAACTTATGAAGGAAAATTAAATCTTTATCTTTCATAGTGGGACGTCAATATAATGAATACAACTGAAAAATGTATTCAGCTCTTAAACATTCTATTGGGAGGCACAGACATAAATATGAAAAGTAGGTAACAACTAAAAATGTTGAAAGCAATTAAGTGCTTACCTTTGGGACAGACAAAGGGGAGAGAAACACAGGGAAGGATGGGAGAAAAAAGGTGACACACTTTTATAAATGAAGCTTTATAGAAATATCTATTTATATTCATCTGTAACTTTGAAAAAATAAAAATTAAATTAAATAAGGAGAGAAACAACTATGGTAACACAAGAGAAAAATTACACAAGTACTCTGAGTAAAGAGATTGGAGAGAATAAATTCTGCATAAGGAAAGAACTAAAAAATATCTGCTTATTTGGTTTATATATTTATACTGACTCAGAAAAAGAAATACACAATGGAATGACTATCAGGCAGCCAATAATGTTTGAGAATACAGAGCTATATTTTTCAGACCTTTATTAGGGAAAATAATTGCCACAGATTTTCTCAGAATTTAATTTGGTAGAACTGCATGGGGGTGAAAAACTCTACAATACTGGTATACAGGCTCCAGGAGAAAGGTTATAAATGAGAAAATATGTTACAGAAGCATTTCCTTAATTTATCATCAGGAAAACCACAAGGCTAAAACGTGGTATTTAGCTTGGGCCTATGGCAGTCACAGAAGTCATGGCTTTGAAGAAAAAGTAATGAGATTTAAGCTTAGGATCGGTTTTGTTGTATAAACACAGAGCTGGTCTCATAATTTAGTAGCCCTTTTTATATGGATATACAACTGTGCATTTTGACCATAGCATAGTTCATTTGACCCTAGTGTAGTTCATAACCATTTTCATGTCATAGTACCGAGACTGGCTATATAATTTGCAAGGCCCAGAGCAAAATGACAATGTGGGGCTTCTTGTTCAAACAGTGGGAAGGATTTCAATATGGCAATAGCAGGGATATGAATCAGGTGTGGGTGCTTTTGAGGGCAGACTGCACACCCATGAATCGGGCCCTGCATGGTTCACACAGAAGATGCTAGCAGCCATGCAGCAAGCTGAGGTCAACTGAAAGGGACTTCCACCACAAGGAAGCTGCTGTCCAGAGTTGCTGTTTCTCCAGGCTGCACCTGGGGCCATGGTGATTAATATCTCAAGGCACAGACATTATACCTCACTCAGCACACCAGCTGGGAGGTCCTGATATAGCCGTCTCACTATGGTTCTCCCAGCATGTATTTTCTCCCTCAGCCATTACCTTTGAAATTTATAGTGTATACAGGACAATGAGATAGTATTTATGAGAAATGTACAGTCTGTTATTTTGCAGTTTTCATGGATGTTAGGTGCTAACATGCCGCCAACACAAAATGAAACGTCTTAAAATGCTGCATGATTTCACCACTCTTCAGTTCAGATACTGAACTTGCCATTCAAGGCCCTTCACCATCTCAGACCTTATATTTCCAACATTATTTCCTACCATTCCTCTCCATATATCTTATGCTAAAACTTAAGCTATCCCCCTACATATTCTGTGATTTATACCTCCATGTTTTTACATAAGCCATTCCTTCCACTTTACTTGCTCTTCTCATGTATCTCATGTCTGAACTATACATTCCCTTTAAAGCCCAATTCATTTTCCACAAGAAACTTTCTCTGACACCTTCAGCTCTATATGATATATCTGCACCTTTTTTTTTTTTCAGTACTTGCCATTACTAATTAACATTATCGCTATGTAAAAACATTTTGGTTTCCCCTCTAAACTCCTTAAAGAAAAGGACCAAGTCTTCTATATCATTGCATGACACACAATGCTCAGCACATTGCCAGGATCATAACAGGAGCTCCATAATTAATGGGAGAAAGCAGGAAGGAAAGGAAGGAAGGAAGGAAGGAAGGAAGGAAAGAAAGAAAGAAAAGAAAAGAAAAGAAAAGAGAGGAAAGGGAGAGAGGGAGGGAGGGAAGATGGATTAACAATTTCTTGAAAAATAGTTTAACGTCTCTGTCTTACCAGTTTTCTGAATGCCTAGAAAATGGAGCAGGGGTACAACTGAAAAAAAATTATAATTCTATTAATCCTATGCTTGCTGAACATTAGTGCTTTCTCCCCAGCTAACTACTCTCAAAACCTTCAAAACCCATTCATCCCGGGCTTCCCTGGTGGCGCAGTGGTTGAGAGTCCACCTGAGGTCAACTGAAAGGGACTTCCACCACAAGGAAGCTGCTGTCCAGAGTTGCTGTTTCTCCAGGCTGCACCTGGGGCCATGGTGATTAATATCTCAAGGCACAGACATTATACCTCACTCAGCACACCAGCTGGGAGGTCCTGATATAGCCGTCTCACTATGGTTCTCCCAGCATGTATTTTCTCCCTCAGCCATTACCTTTGAAATTTATAGTGTATACAGGACAATGAGATAGTATTTATGAGAAATGTACAGTCTGTTATTTTGCAGTTTTCATGGATGTTAGGTGCTAACATGCCGCCAACACAAAATGAAACGTCTTAAAATGCTGCATGATTTCACCACTCTTCAGTTCAGATACTGAACTTGCCATTCAAGGCCCTTCACCATCTCAGACCTTATATTTCCAACATTATTTCCTACCATTCCTCTCCATATATCTTATGCTAAAACTTAAGCTATCCCCCTACATATTCTGTGATTTATACCTCCATGTTTTTACATAAGCCATTCCTTCCACTTTACTTGCTCTTCTCATGTATCTCATGTCTGAACTATACATTCCCTTTAAAGCCCAATTCATTTTCCACAAGAAACTTTCTCTGACACCTTCAGCTCTATATGATATATCTGCACCTTTTTTTTTTTTCAGTACTTGCCATTACTAATTAACATTATCGCTATGTAAAAACATTTTGGTTTCCCCTCTAAACTCCTTAAAGAAAAGGACCAAGTCTTCTATATCATTGCATGACACACAATGCTCAGCACATTGCCAGGATCATAACAGGAGCTCCATAATTAATGGGAGAAAGCAGGAAGGAAAGGAAGGAAGGAAGGAAGGAAGGAAGGAAAGAAAGAAAGAAAAGAAAAGAAAAGAAAAGAGAGGAAAGGGAGAGAGGGAGGGAGGGAAGATGGATTAACAATTTCTTGAAAAATAGTTTAACGTCTCTGTCTTACCAGTTTTCTGAATGCCTAGAAAATGGAGCAGGGGTACAACTGAAAAAAAATTATAATTCTATTAATCCTATGCTTGCTGAACATTAGTGCTTTCTCCCCAGCTAACTACTCTCAAAACCTTCAAAACCCATTCATCCCGGGCTTCCCTGGTGGCGCAGTGGTTGAGAGTCCACCTGCCGACGCAGGGGACACGAGTTCGTGCCCTGGTCCGGGAAGATCCCACATGCCGTGGAGCGGCTGGGCCCATGAGCCATGGCCGCTGAGCCTGCACGTCTGGAGCCTGTGCTCCGCAACGGGAGAGGCCACAACAGTGAGAGGCCCGTGTACCGCAAAAAAAGAAAAAAAACAACAACAACATTCATCCCAATCAACTCACTAATTAACTTTGCTCTAAAATTACCTTTGTCTGGGTAAAAAAAAAGTATATAAATAAAATTATCTTTGAGATATA